ATTGAGTACATGGGCTCGAAAGTGTTTGTGAAGTCCCAACTAAGCCTTTGTTAAGAAAGATTTTCATGTGATTCATTCGCGACCAAAAAAATTCCCACTCTAAACTCTCGTCCAGTACCGTATCTTTTCAGTCACACCAGAAGTCAAAAACGGTATTGGGGAAAAAGTTTGAAGTCAAATTCCCCGCTACAAATGAATCATACTCGATTCCGGTTGGGCAACTTACTTGAGGCCTTCCAAAAAAGCAAAGTCAACGAATCTAAACTAACGTGAGCACCTCAAAGAAAAATTACCTTTCCAGATCCATAGAACTTCTGGTCCTCCTACAAAGATTTGCCAATGATCGCATAGCGGCGCATACGTCAGGCATCACAGGCTTGTGAATCAGCAGCAGTAGGGCAAAAATCCATTCCCTCAATGGCCTAGAGAGTCCATCACACTCAGCCCATTCTACAGCATACTGTATCACGTTTTCAACCTAAGTGGGAAAACTCGTCCAGGAAAAAGAAAAGCCAAAAACTTCTTAAACCTACCATAGCTGAGGTTAGACTCAAGACAATAGGGACAGCTGGTGGGGTCCCTTGATGATTAGGGAATGATGGCAAGAACTGTACGCATTTCGGATGACAACGTCGCAGTAACAACTCCTCCCATTGCTCCGAATTTGTCTAAAAAGCACATTTTCCTTGATCTCTACGAGGTCATAAAATTCACCAACCAAATTAGGCCATTGCAACCTCATTGCTTTCTTTCTCGGTGCTTTCTCCATCCTAGATCGCATCACAGAGAACTCGGCCACTTTCGCAGTACACCACTCTCTAGAGGGTGCACGGGGATCCCGTTCAGCTGTTGATGTGCTAGGAGGAGCTTCTTTTTCTGTTTCTTCTAAGTCGGATACACTGGGCTGGATTATGGACACACACGATGGACCTCGTACACGATCTGCTATTACCTAAACGCAACAAATCCCCTCTTTGAAAAATTACAAAACTTCACAGTGTTGGAACTGGAAATTCAAGTTTCTGAATCGATGCTACTACGCACTTATAAAAGATATCGGAAATAGAGCTCCATATTAGTCGTGGAACAAGATTTTTGAACTTTGATCTCTACAATAGACTTTAATTAGATGATGATCCTACGTCCTACGTCTAAAAGCACTATTCCGGAAACGAACCAGATGATGGACAAAAACAGATTTTTACCCTGCAGCGTTTTTCCTTTCCAAATAACTTTTTTATTGTTCAGGGATTTCTTGTCCAACACTTCCTAGGCTGACGTAAGTGCACTGAGACAAACTTCATGCAAATCTGGATAACTCGAAATCTTGTGAATTGAACATTGGGAAGCTCTGGCTAACCTTCACTAGCCAACCAATCGGCACCTCATATGAAACATCTGTGACCAAGAGCTTCATTCTCGCCCACTCCCAAGTCCTTTAGCACGGTAGTGGGCAGGAGATTATTTAGAATTCTAGGCCATGGACAAATCTTATAAGCCGCCGAGTAGGTAGATTTGAGGTCCGTCAAGTATATTTAATCGAATCCTCGTAAACGAAGTTTTCTTGGTTTGGTTATGCTAATATTCGCCACGAACCTGCTGTAGGTACTGTTCAGCTGACTGTGGAGCACAATCCATATCAACAGCATCTACATCAAATGCGCCTATATCTATGAACTGTCCACGATCCATGTCTTCCTAACAAGGCATACTCTTATACTTACCAACTTTGTCTCTCAAATCTCATAAAGCAAATGACTGGATTCCCGGGTTTAAACAAGAAAACCCCTCAGAAAGCAAGAAACTCTTTATTATAACGACGAAACCAGTGACGTATTAGCACAACTCAACTTCACCGACACCTGCATCCCAACAATCTCAACAAATAAA